CCGCCATCTTGGTTCTCCCCCACTTCCAACACTTTTAGCTTGATTCTATTTTTACTTCCATATTTCCAAATAACATGCTTATGTTGCCACTTCTTGATTTTTAAACAGTTTTAGTCATTATCTATGGATGTTACCCTAAAGCAGATGCTGTGTCACTTTTTCACCACTGCCTCACCACATCATCTGCACTTTATAATCCCCCAAATTCCTAATCTAGTTATATTGATAATTTAGTTTTGATCAGCATTCATGGTTTACATGATCACAACTACCTAAAGATTAATTATAGCTCAGCCATGTAATATACTCTACTTTGACTTTGCTGTGTAATATTTTGTTATATGTACTTGGAGTTATGTCTTTATTTTTTGTACCGTAGTTTTCTATGAACAAAACATGAATTTAACCCTAAAGTCTCCACCAACTGTCTTAATCTCTTTTGAGTATATTTTTTTACTGTTGAAGAAGCCTATTTAATCTAGAAGAAACCTGTCCTGACACTTCTGACTTATTCCAATTTTCGTTCTCCTTTCATCATCATCCTGAGGAACCCCTTTGCCTCTATCTCTTTTTTTCTGTGTTCCCTGTTTTTCTCTTCATCATGATTTACTATTCCAATTTTTGTTCTCCTTTCATCATCATCCTGAGGAACCCCGTTGCCTCTATCTCTTTCTTTCCTGTGTTCCCTGTTTTTCTCTTCATCATGATTTACTCTCTTGTTTTGGTGGCACACAGTCTTCAGTAGCTAGCTCAGGTAGAATATAAGGAAATAATCTTTTTTGAGACCTCCCATAACTTGGAATGAATCTGTCCTCATGTTTGATAGTTGTGCTGGATATATACTTCTATGTTGGAAATTCTATTCCTGGTCCCATTACAAACTTATGGCTACCAACATCAACTGGACTCTCAATAGTAGCAATTCATTCCTTTACAGATGCAAAGGTGATTTAAAAATCTCCGTAAACAAATAAACAAACAAGTAGACAAAAATGAAACCTTTCTACTTCCCTCAGACCTCTGGCAGCTCTCCTTCCTCTACACTTTCAACAGATACCTTTGTACTTTGACTCTTTTGGGAAAAATAAAAGCCATCAGATTAGATTCCCTTGTGTTCTAGGAATGAAACCTGCAAACTGACCTACATTTATACTAATCTGTTTATCTTCTGATGAGCTATATCTCGTCTACTTGTTCATGCTTTTAAAGCCTTGTGATAGTGATTTCTTCTACATATGTATTAGATCAATCACCCAAGCTACCAGCCAACCAGCCCAATAAACAACAAAGAGCTCTTTCTCTACCCACATTATCCTTCAGCTATTGCTCTCTCTTCCCATTCTCAGGCAAACTTCTCCCAAATTGTTGTCTTTGTTCCTTATTTTGTTAACTATATTCAGTCTTTCACCACTCTATTCTTGCTTTCTTGCTAAGATCCCAGTGACCTCCATCAAAGTCTTTTGACCTCCCTTATTGTTAAAATATGATCATACTTTCCTTTTTGAAACAGTCTTTTTTCCTGGGTATGCATGACAAACCTTTGTTTTGTTTTTCTTCTCTTACTAACTCCCTCTAACTCCTTTCCCATTATACTGCTATCTACTGTGAGAATTTGTGAAAGATTCTTTCCTTGATTCTCTTCTTGTTTATTTTCCTAGACAGTCCTACCCATGCATATGGTTAGAATGACCACCTACAAACAACACACTTGAATCTCTAGCCAAGATCTCTTTTTCTCAACTCCAGACCCCATATATCCAATTGCTTACTTGACATACCTCCTTGGGGGTATGAAGAGCACTTCAAACCCAGTATGTCCAATTCAAGTTCATCTTTCCTCCAATGTAGTAAGCCCTGTCCCAGTGTTTCCTATTGCACTCAATGGAACCCATCTCTCTACAATTATGTTAGCTAGGCACTTAAGAGTTATTCTTGAATTTCCCTCTCTATCACCCCATTCTGAATCCATCACCAACCTAGTTGTTGATATTTACCATAAAAATATTTCTCAAATCCTTTCACGTCTCTCCCCTTTTACCACTCTAGGTAAGCTACTAGCAACATCAATTATTTAAACTACCTAAATAGTCTCTTAATTGGTTCAACTACTTCTGTCCTCGTCCTTCACCTGTTTTCTATACTATAGCCACAGTCATTTAAAATAAACACTAATCTGAGTGCATCATCCGCAGTGGTTCTCAACCTTCTGGCCCTTTAAATACAGTTCCTCACGTTGTGGCCCAACCATAAAATTATTTTCGTTGCTACTTCATAACTGTCATGTTGCTACTGTTATGAATCGTAATGTAAATATCTGATATGCAGGATGGTCTTAGGCGACCCCTGTGAAAGGGTTGTTCGACTGCCAAAGGGGCCGCGACCCACAGGTTGAGAACCGCCGACTTAGAGCCTCTGTGGCTTCCTTCTATTTAAGGGTAAAGATAAAAGTCCCTTAACTTGGCTTATTGGGCTTACATGATCTACTCCCCACTTATTTTTCCTGCCTTAGTTAGCACCATCTAATGGTTTGTTTTCTTGTGCCAGCTATGGTGCTCTTCTTCCAGTTTCTCCATAGAAGAATGCGTGCTGCCTCCTTCAACCACAGGATCCTTGCTTATGCCGATCCTATTGAGAGCCAACGTAGATTAGTGGCTAAGTATAGAGCACCTGACGTCTAATTTTCAAGGAAGACTGCTTGGGTTCTAATCCAAATTTTACAACACAGTTGGTTGTGCAACCTTGGGTCAGTTATTTTAGCTTCCATGCCTCAGTTTCCTCCACTGAAAAACAAGGATAATTGTAGGGATGTTATGACTGAATGATCATTTGCAGGGAAGGTTCTTCCCCTTTCTTGCCTAGTTGATTTCTTTTAAAAATATATTTTTATTGTTTTTAGAGAGGAAGGGAGAGATAGAAACATCAATGATGAGAGAGAATCATGGATTGGCTGCCTCCTGCACCCCCACTCCCCCACTGGGGATCCACCCTGCAACCCTGGCATGTGCCCTGACTAGGAATCAAACCATCTCTTGGTTCATAGGTCGACGCTCAACCACAGAGCCACACCGGCCGGGCTCTTGCCTGGTTCATTTCTGTGCAAACTTCCATTTTCAGCTCCAGAGTCACTGTCTTTGAGAAGCCTCCACTGACTTCTCTGAGGTCAAGCCAATTACTCCATGATAAGATTTCTCATATCCAGAGTCTCTTATTTGTAATGCTTAATATAGGTGCAATTTAATGTTTTCTGAGCAAGTTATTTATTTATTTTTGCTCAACATTCTATTTTTCTCACTAGAACTTCAGCTTCAGGAATGAAGTTTGCTTTTGGTCACCATTCTTTGGGCCTAATTCAGTGCTCGGCACGTAGTACATTCCCATAAAGTCTTTATTGCCAGAAAAGACGGTAAATATCCCTGATGCTAGGCTCCTTGATAACTTCTTTTGGTGCTTGAATTCGTGCTTTGCACAGCAATTAATGAGTTCAGAACATACGGTGGTGAATCAAGCAGTTAACTTGTACTTCCTGCACCTGGTCTTCAGCAGGTGAGCAAGCAGGAGGGTTCTCTGCTCCACAAGGCAGGTTTTTGTGAAGATTAGGTGTTAAAACACACAGCTGGGTTTGATTCTTGTCTTTGTTATCTGTTGCTGTGTGAATTTAGTCATGTCTTTTGACTTCCCATAGCCTCAGTTTTCTCTTCTGTCAGTTACAGCATAGTACCCAGCCAGAGTCAATTGTTAACTAGGCAAATGAACCCGTAAGACTTCTGATTGACCTCAAGCATAGTACACGATTATGCATGGGCCCTCGCCGGTGAGATGGCTTGCCTCTCATGTGTGCTAGTAAGCTTCCCCCTGTGGGGACAAACTACTATCCCATCCCTCCCTTCAAAAAAAGTAAAATCATTGTGCTTTTGGTCACAAACCAAAAGAGAGTATGAATCAGTATGAAGCGGGAAAATAGAGTTCCAAGGGCATTCCTAGTGCAAACAAGTTTCTTCTTTCCTGGTACTTTAAGTTTGAGAGTAGTAGTGGGTGGGCTGGCCAGGGCAGGTAGGATCAGAGGTTCATTCCTGGTAATCATCTGTGAGACACTGATCTCGAGGACAGGAAGAGCCCCCAGCCCCTGACAGGAGAGTCCGGGATCAGAAAACCACCATTGCGATCTCAGAGCCTTTTTTTCCCCCCTCCTGCTCCCTCCCTCCCCTCTACTTTTTTATAATCAGCTGAATCCATTCCTTGGGAATCACATCGAAAATGACTCCGTCCTTATTCAAGAAAACATCCCCTTTCCTCGCCATGAAAAGAGTAAGCCTCGCGTCAACCTCGTGTGCAGCTGGCCACTTCGCTGCATGAGAGGAGCGATCTGATTTTGAGCCCTTAGTGGAGGAATGAACTGCATGGAGACGATGACCACAGTGATGTCTATGAGAGATGGACATTGCTTCTTCCACAAGCCTTCTCTTTTCTCCCTCCTGTTCCCAACTTGTGGGATGGACGGGGGTTCTGGGTTTTAGGGTGTAGTGTGTAAGCAGAAGGGAAACTGCGTGTGCACTTCGTGTGCGTTCAGGAGGGTGCTGTGCTTGGACCCGGAGAGTGTCTGTGTTTGAAGAACTAGGAAAGTACGTGTGTGGGACAAGATCGATACGTTTAAGTGCAGAAAAGCGGTCGTTCGTACGTGGTGAGCGAGTGTGCGCGAGTGTGCACAAGCGCC